TCATTAGACTTAGATCATACAAGTTAAATGTCTATTTATAAAGTAATTGTGCATTTTACTCTTTTGTCTGAATGAGGAGTGGAGTTGTAATGTCTGTCAAAAGTCAGAGAACAAGCTATGAGAATGAAGTGCCTTGTTTTAAAACTCTCAGAGAGTAAATAAGAAACTGGCGCCTGCAAGTCTCTCACTTATTCAAAATATTTTCCTGTCTGTTACTAACCGTTCTTAAAATCATGTCTGCAGTCTGTGACTTCTAATAACCCTCTGACATCACTAAAACTCCACCCCTGCTGGTTGTGTTAACCAATCAGGAAGTACCAAGTAACAGGAAGTGGATACCCTTTAAAAGTCAACACTTACAGGAACTTTCAGTTCTTACTGGAACTTTCAGTCTTACTGGAATTTTCAGTCTTAATGGAGGCTAAGGTCTAACAGTCTCTACTCTAATAGCTGATGGATTTTGGACCATGAGCCAAAGGTCCGTCCAATTCAGCAGAGTCACAGCATGCCTCGCTGTGATCTCACCCCGAGCATTAAATGCTCTCAACTTCTAAGGAAGATTCCTTCTAAGGAAGCTTATTCTGTTGAACGGAGTACCGTCACTACTTCGGACGATTCTCAGCCACCCTGACCGGAGATGCTGAAAGGTAGCGTTGAAATGGACCTCTGTACCGGAGCTGATTTATCTTCTGCAAAGGTAACGAGTCGTCACGCACCGAGTATACCGGGGCTGAGCTGGGGTCGGATGAAGGGTGCCATTCCTGGTCAACACATTTTCCTTCATCCATCTAAATCTTCCTCTTTAAACCTCTAAATCTCTCCTCTTGTAAACCTCTTCGCCAGTAAATCGAGCTAAATGCCTTCAGAGATTAATTATTCTCCATCAGTAATCCTCTGTTGTCTTGTTATTTGAACTTGCTAAGTTTATTAATCAGAAACAGATCAGCAAATCAAGTGTACATGTTTGATGTAAAATTTTGATTCTGTTAAATAAATGACCGCATTTATTCTGATGGGTCAAAGATAAATGACGTCTCATGTCACTAATTATACACTCCACTCTCAAGTTATCTTGGTCACATGGCAGAAATTTAACTCAAAAAAGAAAGAATCCATTGTTAATTAAACAATTAATATTCTTTGTGCTTGAACTAGCCTTAAGAATAATTAATTAATAGGATGTCCACAGCAAAAGCTGTCCTGACATACTACA